ATGATGATAATAATAAATAATCAAGTTTCATATAGAATCGTCATTGGGTTGAATTATTATTATTATCATCATCAGCATTTCGGATATAAACAACATGTGTTTGCAGGCAGTCATCAAACGAGTAATAAAAATTATAAAAATAAAAAAAAAACTGAAGGTCACAATATCACCATTGGAATATTATTATTTTCGATATATATGCTTTTTGTGTTTGATCAAATGGATTTAAATATAGTGATCGTTGCTGGTTGTTGTTGTTTTTCCTGAATCAAATCAAAACAAAGCAAGACAAGCATGGCTTCTTTCATATCCAAAACAATGATGATTTTACAGTCAAATTTTGTTGTTGTTGTTGTTGTTGTTAAAGAAAAAAGCCGAAAGTTTCTTTTTGATTATGAATTTTGGTTTGCCATATAAAATATATGATAATGATGATGACGAAGAGTAAAAAAACGCGTTTATCCTGTTTTTTTCTTTCATCAAAGCAATTATATTTAAAGCAAAAAAAGAAGAAAAAAGTTGTTTTCAAAAAGATGTTTAAGATTGGTTGATGTTGATGTTGATATATTGTAGGTGGAAAGTGTTAGTCGACGTGGTGGTGGTGGTGGTGGTGGTGGTTGATCTTTGCCTGATACACACACACACAGACAGAGACACAGAGATTAAGATATGAAAATCTCAAAGAATCCTGAATTCTTGATTGTAAAATCGGTTTGAATCTTCGAAATGAATCGATTTTAAATGAATTTTTTGTAAAAACGTGATTTTAAACACATAATACATGCAGCAGGTACATGTATTAATGATGATGATGATAATGATGATGAACTTAACAATCAGTTAAATTTAGTTTTCCTTATTCAACCAACCAGTCAACCAATAATAATGATGATTCAATTCAATTCATCTTGTAATGGCCAAGAAAACGAATAATAAAACACACACACAAAAACATAATTTCTCTCTTGATTGAACACATCATATCGAATATTGAACATCAATCGATACACCCACACACACGCATACTTATACACACAAAAAGTAATTCAGTAAGTAAATATTATTAGAATTGGGTATTTTGTAGTTCTTCTTCTTCTTTGGGATGTTTACGATGTTTGAGTGCCTGTCTGTCTGTGTGTGTGTGGGTTTCGATAGAAAACGAACAGACAAAGACCCAAGAGGAATTATTATTCAAGCTTGTTTTTTCTTCTTCGAAATGAATTTTTCTTTTTATAGATATTATTCTTGAATGATGATTATGCGCATCTCTGTATTATACCCATCTCTCATGTGATGATATCTTCAACAACAACAACAACAACAAAAAAAAAGATTCTTTAGATTTTATCTTGTGAAATTCATGTTCAGTGAGAATGTTTGTCCGGGAATTCAATAGCAATCCGGGAATTATTATTGTCTTGTCTTGTCTATTTTTTACGGTTAAATTGTCTGCCGCTACTACAACGGCTGATGATTGTTCACACACACACTAAATTCACAAAGAAAAATTCACTTTTTTCACATTTTATAATTTGGTTTTTTCATTGATGAATATTGATGATGAATAAATAACGATAACGATAATGATCGATCAATCAATCAATCAATCAATTTCATTGATTGCAAATTTTGTTTTGATTGATTCAGTTTGTTATCAAATTTCCACCCGGTCAATTTGTTATTATTCTTGAACGATAATTATCCAGATAGAAAGAGAACCATCCATATTTGGATTATGTTCTAGTTTTGTTGTTGTTATTCAAAATCCATAATGACGTTCACAAAAAATGATTCAGTAGTTTTTGGTTGGATGCAATAAAATGTTTTGGTTATTATTATTATTGTTATTATTTGAAATTTATAAAAATGTTTTAAACATACTTGATAAATGTTTGTAATTAATCAACTTTTTTTTTAAATAGTTGATCACTTTTTATAGCCATATTAAATCATCTTCAAGGTTATTATTCATCAACAACAAAAATCATAAATCACAAATCAAATCATCGGATCCATTTATAGATATTTCAATTTGATCATTTGATTTAGTTTTCAATATGTTTCTATTATATAGAAAACAAACAAAATACAATTCGGACAAGGAAAATAGTTTAACGTACAAAACATTCATTCATTGATAAATAAATTAATCTTTTAAGATGATTATTAATTCTTTACGATAATCAGATAGAGAATGAATTCCAAAGAATAAAACTCAAAATTCCAAAACATTCATTGATTGTACACAAAAACAAAAAGTGTTGAAAGGCAAATGGCATGGTATTGATTTTTTTTTAAATCAATTCATATTTTGGGTAGTGGTTTGGTTGTCTGTAAGAATCTTTAGATTGTGAAAATTGTGATTTAACTATGACCAGAGTAGCACACATCATTCACACATACACACACATAGGCAAATTACAAGGCCATCCAACCAAAACACACACAGCACAACCTTTCAACCAATTTTTTGTTTGGATTTCGCTTTCATTTTGGAATCTCGAATAGAACATGCGCCTTTTTGATCATATGGATCATAAAAAACAAAAACAAAATTCAATCAATCGGATTAAATCGATAATTAAAACCCGTTAATTGAAAATTTTCATTTGAAAAAAAACATCAGCAGCAACATGAAACTATCTTGATTGAAGGATTTCCCTTTTTTCAATTTCAATCATCACGTTACCAGGTGAATTTCAAAGTTTTTTCTTTTGTGATTGAAATTTGATTGATTGACGTCAACAACGAAAACAGAAAAAAAGACATTCAAACCACAATATTTCAATCAAATGTTTATAATTAATTTTTTTCACATTACTTTAATTTCAGAAAAAAAACACACACACCATTCATGAATTTTGCTGGGGAAAAAACGACAACCAAAATTGACACTTATCGATTATCAAACTTACATCAAAAACAAACATCATTGCCGTTATTTTTTATGACTAACTATAGAAGGGAAACAAAAACAAATTGATTTAACGATTGATTTAATCAACAAAGGATTTTCATTATTCAACAATTTTTTGAATGTTTGGGATGAATCTAATCAATTATCGATTAAATATGATCAATGAATTTTTGAATTTCTGTTTTATCATTCTGTGAAATTAGGAAATGAATCATCATTTCAAGGAAGAAACGAAAGATTCCTAGTCTGAATGATTCAGCCCAAAAAAAAAAAATGAAGAAATCATCATTTACCGCAATGTCATTAACCGGTTAAATTTGTTGAAAAATTTCAACCTACCATGATTCGACCATAACCATTCTGGTCATTGATGATGATGATCGATTGTGACATTGATGACAGAAAAAAAAGTTCATCACACCATAACCAAAAATTGGATAATTTTCAATCAACCAACAAAAAATTCAGCTATGAAAACTTATTCGAATTGATGATGATCATTATGAAGATGATTGATTGATGTGAATAGTATTGAATCCACAATTTTATCACATTCATTAGAGTTTACATCTCTGAATATAGAGATGTTTTTTTTTGTTGATGATCGATGTTTTGATGTTCGCATGCTCAAATCAATTGGAAAAATGAAAAATACTTTTTTTGTCAATGTTACTGAATGATGATTATTATTATTGAGGAAATTGTAGTTGTAATTGGGAAAAAATAACCAATATTTCCATATATATCATGTTTCCTAGAATTAGATTTGTATCGAATTTCATTTCATTCATTCATTTGGCAATGACAAAATGTTGATAATGATGATGATGATGATATTGATTTTGAATTTGGTTGACAGAAAAATTGATGAACATTCTTTTTCGCTTCATGATGGATTGAATGTTTGTTATCAGATTTCATTGATTGATTGATTCGTTTTTCTGTCAAGAAATTTGATTTTGAAAAAAAAAATTGAAATCAAAAAAATCGATTCGAATCCAAAAAAGATTCGAAAAAATAAAAATATCAAATGGCCAGACATCTGGTGGTCAAAAACAGAAAAAACATTTGGATTTCACAAACATCCAATAGATGGCGATCGAAAAATGGTTTTCAAAAATTCAAAAATTTGATTTTTAAAAAAAATTTTTTAATTTTCTAATTTTAATAAAAAATAATTTAATTTAATTACAAATTTTAGGTGCGAAAAAAATAATACTCAAAATAAATACAAATTCAGATTCTTTTTGTAAAAATAATTAATTAATTAAGATAATCGAAATTTCCGGGGGGAAAATTTCTTTCGGTTTTTCAGGTTTGAAAGAAAATGTTGATAATAATACTAAAAAGAAAGTTTTCGGCTACAATTTTTCTCGTAAAGTTTTCCGATTATGAAACCGCATGTTGCTGTTGTTTATCGATAAAATGATAATCACCATCGACATCGACGTTACCACTTTGATTATTATTACAATCATTATCATTATCAAAACGTGGATCAGCTAGCCAATTTGTAAAAAATGTTAATAATTTTTTATATGAATTACCAATTAATGAATATTTAGGTTGATAACGTTTAAAATTACGTTGTTTCATTTCTTGTTTAACATTTTCAAATATATCATTCCATTCAATAGCATCTTGACACATATCTAAATTACAATGATGTTGTAATAATTTTTCGGATGGTAAATAAACACCACAACCACGATGACATTTTATTGGTTTTTGTGGATTCAATTGACATTGATAATAATGACGATAATAATCTTCTAAACGAACATCGGCAATACAACCAAGCGATTCAAAATCACAACGTATACGTAAACGATTAATATATTTTCGTATAGAATCAATTGATGGTCGTAAATCATCTAAACAAAAATCACGACGACATATTGGACATGTTGGTGTATTATAATATGGATCATCTAACCAACGATTTATACAATTATTACAAAACATATGACCACATTCAATTAATTCTTGTGGATCATCCAGTACACCAAAACAAATACCACATATTATTTCATTTGGTAAACGACTTTTAAAACGATTTATATCGTAACCCATTTTTTGTTGTTGTTTCTTTAGTTTAAATAACGTAACGTAACGTAACAAACAAACAAAAGTAATTAATTTCACCGAGATTGACAAATTGGAAGAAACAAAACAAAGTTTTTTTTTAAAAGCGTTTTTGTCTTCTGTTTTAAAACATGTGAGCAATATTGTCTCGCCGTTGATTTATATATGAGTGGAGAAAAGGAAAAGTTTAGTTTTTTAGTCAGAGAGATTGCACGATGAGTGTAAAAAATCTCCAAAAGCCAAATTGAACCAGATCCAGTAATCAATCAATGAAAAAGAGAGAGATCGAAGATCAATCAATCAATCAATACAATGAAATTATCGTAGCCGTAATAGCGGTAGTATAGTTGTAAAACCAAGAAAAAAAAATGACGTGAACACTTTTTATATATATCATAAGCAATCATCAAAGTAATCAAGCAAAGCATATCTCATATCTTATGATATCAAGAACTTGAGTGTTTCTTTCTTTTGCTTGATGAATTGGAATGATGAAAAGCAAAAACCAAAACAAAACAAAAAAATTATCATTGATAACGATGAGAGAGAGTGCAATAATATTGCAGAAAAATATGAAAAACCAAAACAAACTTTGAACAACAAAACAAAACAAACAAGCCACAAAGGGTGAAAAAATCCACAAGTAAACATACAAAAGAGTGGTAAGACGTTTTCCCGAAATAAAAAAGAAACAAGGAAAAATCCAATTTGACAAATTGTAACTGATATGAATATATATTTCCTTTTCAGAAATGGATGATAAAACTAACTAACTAACTGATTGATGCAACTTGACGGTGTTGAAAGTGCAAAAAATTTTTTTTTTGTACATAATCCGTACAAATCGATAATTAATGCAAAGCTTATTTAGTGGATTGATTATCAATCTTCTCATTTCTTTCTTCCTTTTGGTAGATCGTCATCATAAATCCAATCATAAATTAGAACATTTGACTTTGATCCTGAATGATTGGGAAACAAGATGAAAAAACGAAAAATTTCAACATCAAACGCGAACATCTTATGATCATNATCAATACAATGAAATTATCGTAGCCGTAATAGCGCGGTAGTATAGTTGTAAAACCAAGAAAAAAAATGACGTGAACACTCTACATATCATAGGCAATCATCAAGTAATCAAGCAAATCAAAATCTTATCGCATCCTATGACATCAAGAACTTGAGTGTTTCTTTTGCTTGATGAATTAGAATGATGAAAAGCAAAAAAAAAAATTATCATTGATAACGATGAGAGAGTGCAATAATATTGCAGAAAAACAACCAAAACAAACTTTGAACAACAAAACAAAACAAAACAAGCCACAAAGGGTGAAAAAAATCCACAAGTAAACATACAAAAAGACGTTTCCAATTTGACAAATTGTAACTGATGAATATATTTCCTTTTTTTCAGAACTGGATGATAAAACTAACTGACTGATTGATGCAACTTGACGGTGTTGAAAGTGCAAAAAAAAACAAAAATCCGTACAAATCGATAATTACATTGCAAAGCTTATTTAGTGGATTGATTATCAATCTTTTTTCTTTCTTTTGGTTGATCATCTTCATCATAAATCCAATCATAAATTAGAACATTTGACTTTGATCCTGAATGATTGGGAACAACAAGAAAAAGCGAAAAATTTCAACATCATCAAACGACCATCTTATGATCATCATTTGGAAAATTCTTTCGTGTTTTTCGTATGAAACGAACAACATGCAACAAGATCTATATTTGGCCTCTTGGTGTATCAATTTGGTTGTTTGTTGTTGTTTTTCTCTCGAGAACATTGATCGATCGATTGATCGAGAAATTTGGTGAAAACTGAAAAAAAATCTGTCGATCATTCCAAATGGGGGAAAAAGTGAACAGTGATGAAACACACATACGTTTTTCCGCGCAATAAGAGTGCAATTTGCCTTATCATTTTTGAAGATTGGAGAGGGAGAGAGAGAGAGAGGGAGAAATTTCAAAAAGACTTTCATAAGAAAATATTACACATTTTGAGAAGATGATAAGCAATGTTTCAAGTTGGAACTGGTCTGAAAACCAACACCAGTGTCAATGACAAATTTTTGACAAAAATTGAAAAATTTGACAAAAATTTTGATAAAAATTTTACGAAAAATTTCTAGCCAGAATGAACCGGATGATTTTAAAAAAATCATGAATCATATCATCAGGCAAGAAAAAAAAAGATTTCATGTTTTCTTCGCTCCCTGTTCTCGTTTTAAAATTTGAAAACCAAAAATTTCCAATTTGGTTTTGTTTTGGCCCTGTCCTTATCATCGATCAGTAACTTGAATAAACAAACAAAAAAACAACTTGTAGCTTTTTTTTTGCTGAACAACAACCAGACGATGAGACAAACACATGGAGAATTTGTTTATGGTAATTTTTAATCTATGGATTTTTTTTTTTGCTCCAAAAATTAATCAATCTTCAGAAATGCGTTACCAAAATTCACCACCATCCCCACCATTATTATTATTTCATTTGTTTTTTTGACTCCAGAAGATCAATCCAAAATCGATCCAAAATGATTATTTAATTGGGAGAAAAATTGATGATTAATTGATTTTGATTGGGGGAAGAGAGAGAGAGAGAGAGAGAGAGAGAGAGAGAGAGAGAGAGAGAATGGTTTATTAATGGGAATCTTTATGGGAATCTCTTTATGGGTAATGATCGTTGATCACGATCATCATCATTATCATTGTTTTTTGTTTGCAAAAAAACATAATCATTATCCTATTCCTATACTGTATGATAATATAAGGCAGGAAATCAATTTTTTTCCCTGTTTAGTTTAGTTTAGTTTAGTTCAGTTCAAGAAACGCAATTTTTTTTTTCTCCAAAAGGAAGAAAAGAAAAAAGTAAAGTTTTCCATTATTTAAATTGAATATTATATTTCATGGTAGATAAAAAAAAATATCGATTATATCGATAAGCGTAAAATTGATATAATCGATTTTTTTCCAATATTCATTCAGTTTTTGATTAAATCAATTGAAATATCTCCAAAAAAAGTATCAAATTACAGTTCATTTTTTCCATCCAACCACCACCACCCCGGTAACCATTCGCCAATCATCTCATCAATGTGTGACCCGTTTTAATTTAAATTTTTTTTTCAATGATTTCAACATGGGGAAAGAAGCGAAAAACAGGGGAAAAAGATGCCATTTATCATCAAAATGATCATCGTCGTTAACAAACAAAACGCACACACACACGAGCAAAATGTACATTGATGATGTACCAATCGATATAACCAACCACCGAACGAAAATCATTTATCATTTTTTTTCATATTGACAATTTCAGGGGGAGAAAAACTCAGGAAATAATTCGCTCACTTTGCTCTGATCGAATCGAAAAAATTCCTTGGTGCAACCCCCCTTGCCTTCAATTCCACCCCCGCCATCACCCACTAAGGTAATTACATCATCATAGTTGTCGTTGTCATTGCCATTGACAAGTCAATTTGATTTGAAAAAAATTTTTTAAAGAAAAAAAAACGAATAATTAATGAAAAAAATGCAAATGAGAAAAGAAAAATCAAATAAAAAACTTTTTCCAATTTAAATTCTTCAGTTCCACAGTATATACGCAACAATTTTTTGTTTTTTTCGCAACCACTGATCATCATTTCAATATGGTTGGCAAAAGAAAAAAAGGAAAAGAATTTACTTATAAACTAAATAGAGTGAAAAGTGTTAACGATTCTGAAGAAATCGATATATATTTTAATATGAAAGAAAGAAGAAGAAAAAAATGACAATTTCAAAGTTCAGAAACGAAGAAGAAATTCTAATGTTTAAATAATGATGATTTGATTTTTCCTTCTTCAACTATCTTCTTTTTGCTCCAACATTTCATAAGATGCTTTGAAAAACTATTTTCAAATGTTTTGGTTCTCTCTCTCTCTCTCTCTCTCTCTAAGTGTAAGTTCCACAATCATCATCAACACTCTCTCTCTCTCTCTCTCTCTTTCTCTCTCTCTCTCTTTGAATACATTATCATCATTGGGTTTTGTTTGTTTGTTTGTTTTTTTTCGCAGTCTGTTGGTTTGTTTGTTTGTTTGATGTCAATCAATTCGTTATTTTGTTTGTTTGTTTCATTTATTTCTTTCAATAAATATAGTAGTGTATAGAGAGAGAAAATTCCTTTTTTCCATCAAGATTTTCACTCACTCACTCTCTTTTTTTTCCCAAAAAAAATTTTCATTTTATCTTTGATTGTCATGTTGTGAAATTTCATCTTCTTCTTTTTCGTCTGTTTGGTTGGCTAAAAATAAACCGTATCATCATCATATTGATCGATTGTCAATGTCTTTATCGAATAAAAATTCAATGAAAATAACAAGAGAGAAAACACAGAAAAACGGAAATTAGACTTTCTCTCATAGACACACACATACAGCCACACAGACTAGACAATTCAATCATTTTTGTTTTCAA